GCTTTCATGCTAAGCGCTATTGGGTTCATGGCATCGTTTGCTTCTGTCCTAACTGTGGCCACATGCAGTCCTGATTGCCCTTCAGTGCAAACTCCGCTCTCTCTTGGGCCTTTATGGGTTAGACGCAGAAAATCCGGCACTTCTTACCGTAGCTTAAAGATTTTTACTAACTGTCTGTTACCTGAACAATGAGAAAATCTGTGAGATGGTTTAATTACAACTTAGGTAGAGCCATGGTCTTTTAAGGGAAGTTCTGGCTGTAACTCTTGCTCCAGATCTCCATTCAGCGGGGATTGCAGCACTGAAGGGGAAAGCAGAGAGGGTGCGTGTCAGGATCACACGGCAGGTGAAGGCCCAGACAGAGTCAGAATTTGAGTCTCAGGGTGAGGCCCCGAGAGTCAGAATTTGAGTCTTTCACAAATCAAATAGATGACAGCAGGTGCTTCCTTGCAGCAGCTTGTAACAGAGTTTTTGTTCTATTTTTGAAGATGGCAGGATTTTTTCCTGCAAAAACAACAAGTTCAGCACCAGAAAGGTCCTTGCAGATGTTGCTGTTAGCTGTGGGAGATGGCAGCACTTGACAGCAGGAGCTTAGTGTCGTCTTAAATTAGAGAGGGCTTGAACCAAGCCTGCAGACATCCTAATATCTTAGGAACTGGTGGATGCCGAAGGCCTTTTCCACATGTCAGTGTGGCCTGTCTTTATGTGCAATAATTCCCTCGCTTTAAAGAGAGGCTTTTCAGGGAAGCGTTTCTTGTCCCTCACCTCCCTCTCCGTTCCTCCCTCTCCATTCAGGGCCCGTGACAGCAGAGATGTTTCCACGACAACAAGCCCTGCGACTGGCTCAGGTGACAAACTGTAACTTCAACAAATACCCCTCAAAATAGCATCAAACAATTGCTTGTTTAGGTAATGGAAATGTTATTTTAAGAGGCCTTCAAAAGCAGCCTACCGAGCGGATTCTACTCAAGAATCTGTCTAGGATCAAACCTAAAAACTACTGTTCAAATAGCAGGGTGGAAAATGCTCAGTTTGGTCAGAAAGGTGAATGCTGGACAGTGGTTGGGCAGAATTTCTTGAACTGAGCAATTAGAGCCACATTTTACGCTATTTTACCTTACGTTTAAGGCAACGGAATTTGTGACAGTGATGAATGCAGGAAAGCTACTGTTCCTGCAAATAATAGACCTCAGTGATAAGGTAGTAGGCAATCGAAACTTAGTAGTCAGGATTGAGTAAAATTGGTAATAAAATGTGAAAGTCTCACTGTAACAGCTGACTGTACCCTGGACTGACTGTGAAATACTAGAAATACTAGAATTACATGTGTTTTTCTTCCAGAAAAGACAACTAAAAAAATTTCCTCAAGGGCATAACTCTCTCTCTTTTCTCCCTCTTTTTTTTTTTCTTAATTTAAAATTCTGAACTATTGTAATTTCCTCACAATAAATGTATTTTTAAACAACAAAATGCTGGGAACGCAATACAAAACAAGGTTTTTTGGAGGCTACATTTTGTTGGAAATCATCAAAATGGCAATAAATGTGTTTAAGGAATTTACTAACTTCCCACAGTCAGTGCATTCAGTTAATGGTAGGGCATATTATGATAGGGTTTGTGCAATGTGCCCCTACAGCAGCCAGGGAGATAGATGATGATTCCGGCAAATGGTTTTGCAATAAATGGATTTTTCAGTCTTCTCTTCACAGAAGAGTCTTTCCTAGTGTTGTAAGTGGATGATTCATAAATCTCTCCTAATGCTGCTTCTAGTAACAGTTCAATTGATCTGTAATCGTCGCTTTAAAAAGTGAGTCTCCCTGGGAATGTTTCAGCCCTATATCCTGAAGTTTCTCTAGCCCAGGGCTATTGCTTTACCTTGCAGCAGAGGGAGATGATAGTAAAACATTCTTTAAAGACAGATGGATGTCTTGGGTATATGCATGTGCCTTATATCATGGTTCTCATGCAAAACTGATACTCCTTGGGCCTGTTGTTGTCCTGGCAGAACTTTTGTTCACCTCGCTTTGTTTTCTTTCTCCAAAACAGAGCACGTATGAGGCTCCCCTTGCAGCGATGCTGCAGTTCATCCCGCCGTGGTAGAGGCTCCCTGCACAACAGGGACCAGGCGGCTAAGAATGTAAAATGGAACTAAACATTTTTAAAGTAGGAAATGGTGAAAGACTTTGCAAAAACCTGTTGTCTTTGTTATAGCTTTGCTGGGTCAAGGTATCTTAAAAGGTAAGATAAAATTTCACAACAGCTTTTGAGTGGGATGTTCACTTGAAGACAAAGGGGCTTCACTCTGGTTCATGATCTGGCTGGAATGCATGGAAGAAGGGAACTGAGGGAAAGATGGTATCTCTGAAGCATAAGGTTTTAATTAATTAAGATTTTAACCTATCAGACAAAGAATGTATTTCAATTCTCTAAGTTGTACAAATCGGTGAATAAAATCTGGTGTAGTTTGATGAGGGTTACATCCCTATTTTATTCTGAGTTTTCATTGTAGGACTTCTTTATTTCCTTTTGTAAACTAATGAGATGAATACAAAAGCCTGGGAGACTCCCTGCTAAAAAGCAGCTTTTTCTCCACCCCACTCCCTGCAAAAGAGTAAGTGATATCAGGAAAAGAGGAGATTGACTCGGTGTCACTTAGGCAAGTGGACGTGGATAAGGCAATCGTGTCTTTATGAACTGCTCTAATGGGTTTTTGTATTGTCCATGACAGGTGCCTCTTTGTGGTTGGTCCTTTTAATTGAAAATTTGAACAGATAAACTGCTTTCTTACAGCCTCTGTAGTTGCTAGGATCCAATCTCTCGTATTCCGTCAATCTCCCGCTTTATGGGATGTGCCGTGTCGGCAGGTGGCACTTTGTGGGGACGGGGGGAAGACGGGGCACGTGCGGCTGCCGCTGCAGCGGGCAGAGGTACCCAGGGCTGGTCCCATGGGGACACTGGGGACATGTGGCTTCTGGTCCTTCTGTGTGCTCCAGGTGGAGACTAGCGGGAAAACTGGCACAGTCATAGGATGAGGCGGAGGGACATTGGAAGAAAAGGTAGCACTGGATTGCTGGCCACGTTAGGTGAATGGGAAGCTCGCCAGCACTATCTGTAATGTCAGTAACAGGCTGAAGCAGCCACATGCTGTGAAAAGCAGCACAGCTGGGCCCTACTCACCCACAAAATCTGTGGGTGTCGGAGGGTGCCACTCACCCGTCATGCTGTTCTGCCCGAAGTCTTTCGCTGTTCGGGTTACAGAGACAGTTTTTAAAACGTCCACGGGGGCGATGGCTGCGGCCGGGGCTGCCTGGGGCTGCCCGGGGCCCGGTCCAGGAGCGGTGAGCGCCGCCGCGGCGGCTGCCGCCTCGCACGGACACTCGCGTGTGCGGCCAGCACCATCTCCTCTACGGAGACAGTTTCTTACTAGTTTTACAGTAAGCTTGCAATAAATAAGAAAATATATAAAATCAGCATAGGAATTAAAGTAACTCTTTAATGCAAACTTTTTTTTAATATATTGCCCGTTGAACTGGCTGATCTGTACTGATAGAGCATTTGTTGCTGAGTTTTCTGCCAGGTGCTTTGCGTGAAGTTCTTTGCATCACAGGCCAGACTCTGGCTCCCTAGGAGCCTAAAGGGTCATGCTCCCTTTCACTGAATAAAATTTTGGTTCTAGTCCAGCTACAGAGAAAAAAGATTTCCCTTCTAACATAAAGCTTTTCATGGGACACTCTGAAAACAAATCATTTCTGGATGCCTGGCAAAGCAGCCGGAGCTGCTCCTGGCTTCACAAAGCGAAGGAAACGTGTCCTGTCCTGAGCGCCTTATAAAAGTAGGCCTAATTTTGCCACCTCTACCCCTTCCAGTAATCCCCTTGCCTGGTGAGGTGCCACCACATGAGCAAGATATGTGAGTTCACACTCTAATTTTTTATTTACTGAGAAGACTACAAATGAAATTGGATTACTATTGGAAGGGGGGGTAAATGGATGATAATAAAGAAGTTACTGAAAACAGGACCTAGAAGGTGAACAATCCTTACGGTTGCCCTCTTGTTAGGGATTAATAACCACAGCCTTGGAAGGGTCCAGGAGACTTAGCTCTGTGCCTGAAAGCAGGATGTGTTGGCTGCAAACGGGAGAAGCAGGTGGCTCATCCCACTATTTTCCTCGACCCCCAACCCATGAAGAGTTAAACCACCGTGTGCAGCTACTGAATATGCTTGCAAGAGCAGCCATCTGGTTATGCTCCTACTGCTGGGCATGTAGGGATGAAAAGGGGAACTGAAAACCAGGCTGCCTTCGTACATGGCACATGGCTTGAAATGCTGATTTTTTTTTCATTTTTTCAGGTGGCTTTTATCTCTTCAGTGCCTAGGCATATTTATCCATCTAAATGAGTGGGCTCGATTGTGCCTTCCCACAAAGGGAAAGGGGGAAAAATGGCATGTGAGCTCTGGGTGAGCAAAGCAATACACGGCCTCCTCTAGCAGCTGAAGCAAATTTATCCTGGTCTGCATCCAAAAACAAGGATTTAGCGCTTTTGGAGAGCTGGCTCATAGGTGCCGATGCCCACAGGTTTCCCGGAGCGCCGGGGCTCCGTATAGAGCATATAGGCAGCTGCCCAGACGGAGCGTCCAAAGCAAAGCGCAGGCGTTTGGGGCAGGCGCCGAGGCAGCTGCTTTAGTCGCAGCAGGAAACAGAGCCACTAAGTTGGGAGCAGAGGAGAAAGCAGCTCTTGGGACACGGGGTCACAGGAGCGTTGTCAGCACCAGCGTGTCGAAGCTGCCCCCCCAAATCCCGCTCTGCTACAAGAGCAGCTAAACATTAGCTCCTTCCAATCTAACTTAACAATAAGCCACGTCTCAAAAAGTCATTTATTTATGCCTTTTTTTTTTGTCGTAGTTTTATTGAAAAAGCTGGTATTAACATATTTATATTTTTATTCAACAACAGTTAGCTAATTTGTGCAACACAAGGAATGCAGCCATGAACAACAGCTTTCAAAACAATCAGATTTACCAACTTTACCATCACTTACTCTACGCCACTGAAAGCTCAAACTAAAAAAGAGAAAGGAAGTTGGAAACGTTCACAATGACGATGTTACCTTTCCATACATTCAAGAAGACCAGGAAACTGAACTCCAGTAGTGATGTCAAAGACATGAATGCAATACTGGTCTTTGAGAGATTACTATTTATTTCCTCTAGAATCACTTCTTCGTGGTATTTTGGTTGGGTATTTCAATAGTTTTATAAAGCTCCAAAGATATATTTATTTATTTAATTTAATCACGACCTTTTTGGTACCCAAAGCTGAAACAGAGTAAGGTACGCAAAATGAAAACAAAACAAAAATGTTGTATTAAGATCTGCTTTATAATAAGTTATCTATAGAATCTTACTTGAGAATGTTAAAAGCTAAATATATGTTTTACAGTACTTCTAGCTGTAAATGCCAATATGAGCTGATAGCTTTTTTTTTTTCTTTTTAAATTTTTTTTGAGCTGCAAAGGTTAATGGAAGAGGCCAAAAGTCAAAGAAATTGTATGACATCCTTTAAGCAGTAGTTTGGCATTAACAAGATTTCTATACAATTTACCACATTCTTAAACCTTTTTACAAGGAAAAAGAAAAAAAAGCAATTTTGTTAAATTTCATTAGAATAAATATGTACATATAATACTGTCCATGCTTTCTAGAGCACACAGTATCTTATAAACAAACATTCCTCATTCTCTTTAAAATTAACCTACACATTTCATACCATATGTGTTTAGTATGGCTGGAAACTGATGCACATGCGTTTGTGCTTCTACACACAAAATATACAGCGTTGATCTAGAAAACTTCAAACGTACAGATTTCATGTGTTGTGTTAAGATGTAATATAAAAGAGCTTTAGGCTTTGTTTTTTAGTTCTTGTAAGCAGATTTCTCACCCACCCTTCCCCCCAAACCAAAATATAAAAGCATGCAGATCCATTTACCAGTACATTCTCCACTTACCAAATAAACTGGTGCATAATGGCTTAAAGATTATTTTTTCTGAGATGTTTTAATAAGGGCAGATTAACAGGTCATCTGAATTGTGCTCTTTTTATTCATCATTTGGGAACAAATACTTTGGGACATTCATTTTTCTGCAAGCAGTATCAGATGGCTGCAGGCAGGTTTTTCTTTTATTTATTTTTTAATATTTTTTTCCCCCTGGATTAAGTACTTCCTTCCTATATGCTTCCCATATGCTTCCCACATGAAGTACAGCAAATGCATGTATTTTCATTTTCCATTTGCATCACTATTCACTGAAAATGGAGAAAAGTCTAAATGTATTTATGTGGAAGAGGGTTTGTTTGGCTTGGATTTTTTTTCTTCTCATTTTTCCAGGAGTATTTTCACCCTCCAGCCTTTGCCTAATTTACATACATAAACATATGAACAAACGAGGGATTTTCTGAGCAGTGACTTGACTTTTTGCTCTCTTTTAGGCCAATATTTGCCCTTCCAGACATCAGTTTAGCCTAGACAGGGAAACCTCCAGCCCTCATCCCAGTGGGGATTCAGTGTTTAACCTGCTATGTTGTACTTGAGCAGCCAGGAGTGGTGGCCCAGCCAGGCCAACTATTTAATTTGTCCTCCACATGATAAAGTTATTAGTTGTTTTAACCAGAGCAAAGAGACATCTGGAGAATGAACTTTGCACAATAAACTGACTAGAAGCTACCATCAGTTTGTCCTCTCTTCACTCAGAAAACCGAAGCACAAAGTTGTGAGGAGCTGTGGGACACGTGAGACGGGGCAGTTTGCAGCAGGACCAACAGCTAGAATTTCGTGTCCCGTCTTAGCGCTGGGAGAGGCCCTTCTGGTGCGGCGCGTGCCAGAAGGGGATGTGGCTACTCATTCCCTCTCAGGTAGGTCTGGCTTGATTAACGACAGGGAAAACGCTATTTAAAAAAATAAAAAAAAAACAAGAGACTGAGGCAAAAAGCTCTAACAATGTGGTAAATGCTGCGGCCTGCAAGACGCGCGGCCCCCGCTGCCCTGCGGAGCACGAGGCCCTGGGAGGGCTCAGCCCTGCCGGGACTCCCCGAGCGGATTCCCCGGATCCGGCCCAGGCCGCAGCACTGCACTCGCGGTCGTGCCCTTGGCTTGCATGGTGGTTGTGGCCATGGAAAACGCTCGGCTTGCCGGCAACGCTAGCGCAGGCCGCGGGCTGGGAGGACGCGGCCCACAAACGCCACCACAGGAGCCGCCATTTTTGTGACGATCGCCTCCTCCTACAACTCTCAAGAGGCTGGTCTGTAAATTGGAGGGATACTGATAAACCTAGTGCATTTCCGAGTTCACTTTATCCTGAAATATGTACAGATTGTTTGTCGCTGCTATAGCAATGATGTTCTCGGTGGGGTGCCACGCCGTGTGCAAGATCTTCTTGGTAAAGTCCAAACTGTCGACGCTGATGTCGTCTTTCCTGCGCTTGCCCCCGACGCAGACCCGCCGCGGCTTGAGGATGGCGCGGGGCTTGCTGCTCTCGCGCGACGCCTCCAGCGTCACGTCCCGCTTGGTGTTCCGGTCAAACATGCGGAAGAAGTTGTTGTAGGCGCCCGTCATGATCACGCTGCGGACACGGGGAGACAGAAAGCAGGGACAAGGTTAAATGGCAGGTTGCGGGGACGCTCCCAGTGGGAGGGGATCAGCACCTGAGCTTCAGCCTGTGATAGGAGGTCGTCTGGCAGCCACTGGAAAGCAGGCGAAAAGCAGGATTTTCCCCAGTGCTCTTTCAAGTGAATAGCTCTTTTTCCTACCGTTCTCCCCTTGCCTGCCACAGTATTCAGTGAAATGTGTGGCTATCCCAGAACAGGCATCTCACAGCATTCAAAAAATAAAGAAAATCACAAGTCGGGACCCTGACAACATGACTCTGCAACAGAATAAATGCAACAAGTTGCTTTTAATACCCTCCAACACACCGTTATTGCCTCACAAGCATCAGGATTTAAGGGTTTCCTTGTTTTTGCTTTTATCTTCCTTCTCCAGAGCCCTCCCCTGGTCAGGCTCTGGTGGCAAGTGCTCTGTGCCCAGGACAGCACAGAGGCACCAGCCCGGCTTCCCTTACCACCCCTCTGTGAAGCCTCCATTCGTCAGCTACCGTGCCATGAGGTAGCAGCCTTCAGCAGCAGCCTTTAAAAAACAAAGAAAAAGGTGAAAAAAAGTAAAATGCCACTGTAAGAGCTTGGTAAAATGTATCTCAGAAGCAGCAGAGGACCTATTGATCAAGATTAGCGCCCATTGCAGGATCTGTAAATCCAACATCCCGCTCCTGCCAAGCCGTGTCCCGTCATTAGGACTCGGGCAGTAAATGGTCATTCACAACACGAGGGAGGGCAGGGAATTTCACATCTCCACTAATCCGCACAGTCTGTGCTCCTAGCAGTGCAGCTCAGGGCTGAGCTGTGCCTTGCAGGCAGGATTGCTCCCCAGTACAAGAGGGATGTGGAGCTGCTGGAGAGAGGCCAGCGCAGGGCTACCAGGATGATCAGGCGCCTGGAACATCTGCCCTTGAGCAAAGGCTGAGAGAGCTGGGCCTGTTCAGCCTGGAGAAGAGAAGGCTGAGGGGGGACCTGATCAGTGTCTATAAATACCTTAATGGAGGCAGTGAGGAGGAGGGGGTGGCCTCTTTTCAGTGGTGGCCACTGATAGGACTAGAGGAAATGGCCACAAGCTGAGGCACCAAAAGTTCCACAGCAACTTGAGAAAACACTTCTTGACAGTGAGGGTGACAGAGCCCTGGAACAGGCTGCCCAGAGAGGTTGTGGAGTCTCCGTCTTTGGAGATCTTTAAAACCCGCTTGGATGCAGCCCTGTGCCACGTGCTCTAGGTGACCCTGCGTGAGCAGGGGGGTTGGACTCGATGACCTCTGAGGTCCCTTCCAACCTTAAGCATTCTATGATTCTATGATTTGCAGCACGTCGTGGCCATGGGCTCCATGTATCACAGCTGCAGAGCAGCGCAGGGCTGGGACAGAAGTGAGTGTCTGTAAAGACTCTTTTTATGGGGATATCCTCCTCCTTTGCTTGCTCTGCTTTGCATTAAAGCTGCCTTCACAAGCCATTTGCTTTTTAATTTCTTGAACTCACATATTTTTCAAAGTCTTTTTTCTTTAGTTGGCTCTTCCGCAGAGTTTTTCATTTTGTTTTAACATATGTGGATGACTGCTTTTCATGCTGTCCCTGTTTTTCTGCAGTTTAATGGCTTCATAAAAATGGCATTATGTAAATGAGAAACTGCCCATTCTTGTCCAAGGTCACAAGCACAGATGGATTATAGCCTTACCTGGTGCTTAAAATAATAAGGGAGAACTAAATGTAAGCCTGCTATTTATTCCTATTCAGGAAAATATAATGCAGAGCAATGCATGCCTGAAGTGAGGTCTTTTTTTATTCTCTTGTTACATACATAATAGAATAAAGATTGCAGCTAAATATAGAAAGTGTCTGCTCAGTGTTTCTGTATGGTTTCCCCTGCACAGCGCTGTTACAAGTGCTTGCCCAGCACCCCTGCAGTCAAGGCTGGCTCAAGAAGCAAAAGGAAAAGGTAGTACCTCCCAACCTTGTGATTTTGTATTTTTGTCTCTGCTTTCTATGTCTCTTTGTCTCTACTTCAACAAGCTTTTGTTGTTGTTGTTGTTTTTCTTCCCTTCCTCCCCACCTCCTCCTCCCTTCCTCTTTCTACTTCCATCTAGGCTACTCCGTGAATTTCCAAAACCTTCTCCCTGCTTCTACCTCCTGCTCCTGCTAGCCAAGTGTTGGCCCTAGCTGTGCTCTCTTGTACTTCACTGTCTTCTCCATTCTTCTCCTTTTCTTCTCTCGCTCTTACCCTTCATTTTTATTGAGGTCTTACTGCTCTCCTTCTTGGCCATCCCCCTCGTCACCGCTCCTGCCCCTCTCACAGACAACCAGCTCAGCCCTCGGGGACTGCAGGCTTCCCTCCTTGCCCTTCCCTCTGGGCTGAAGGACTGATCAACGTTGCTCAACAAGTGACCACATAGGCAGGGGTCCTCCCGCGTCACGAATAGATGACAGATTCCTGTGCTTGTGGAACTGGCTGGGATTTGGTCATGTAGATGTCACGAGACACACAAGGCTTGGCCGGTCACATAAAGCCACCAGCTTTACCCAGGGTGCAGGGAGGGAAATGCACTGCAGGTTGTTTACTTTGCAGGAACTTAGATTCTTAGATGTCTATCAGCAAGCAGGATGCCTTGTTAGCAGACACTGTACGGCCGTCCTTGGAGTGGGCCCCTACAAGGTTGGTTCTGAATCAGTAGAACATTTAACTCCTCCTTCTGTCCAGGACCTGCATTCAGGGCCCTCTGCCCTATGCCTTGCGTGTTGGTAGCCACGAGTATTTCAGGTAAGCTAATTTTTTATATCAATTTCCAAGCTGTAAAATTCTCTGATGCAAAGGATTTGAAAGAGTGCTTCCTATTTACATTGTAGGAATAACACTCAAAAGAAAGAGTACACTTGTTTACCCATGAATAACAGTTTCATATTGCATAATATCATTAATGTTTAATTTAAGGCCAAAGTTTTAAATCTGTACAGACTGGGTAAGGAGATGGTTACACATCTCCTGGGGTCTATAAAAGCACCCTCACAGCTACTGATGCCTTCAGCATCTTTAAGCTTCTCATACCTTAAAGCATCTGGCTCTGAATACTTTGTTTTGGCCATGACTCACTGCACTAACATTTTATTTAGCAAAATCTGAGCAATGAAATGCTCAGCATGTTCCTCTCCTTTCTATAAAGTTCTACTTCTGTACAAACGTCAACAAATTTCCTGTTTTACCTACCTCAGGGCTGAAGTCTGACTAGGACTTTATTATTTTATCTGCACTTTTTAAATCTGTACTTTATCTGATATTTTCTTCCACCTGATAATTTCTTCCACCATAGAATCAAGATATTGAGATTTCATCAAGCCTATCAGTCAGTAAGAATCGCTATCACTCTTCTTCATTGCAATAATTATTCTGATTTCTTCACTGGAAGAGAATCTCTTAAGTCTGTTGTGCTCTTGCAGCCATCCTTGCACATGAGCAGTTCACAACAGAACTGCTCAAGTCAGGCGACAGGATCTGCCTTGAAGCTATGGGGCATCAACTGCAACCAATGCCTGCATACAAAGCAACCTGCACTTGCTCTGCCCTGGCTTCTAAAGCCAGTTCTGGACTAACTCTGGCCCAGAGTCTTTCTCCTAGCTGCACAGAACTCTTCCTACAGCTGCACATTTCTGTTGTCCTGAAAATCCAGCTCTTGCTGGAGTTTCTTTTTTCACCATTGCCCAAGATGAATGGTAGGACATGGGCTGGGAAGCTTCAAGAACCAGCACATTCTGGGCTTAAAGATGACAAAAACTGTTACACTGTTAGATCCATTAATGGAGTGGGCTGGTTATTCTGGCCATTTTTACTTTATTCTGTGCCATGTGAAGCTAGTGCCTCCCCGTGTCACAGGCTGGAGTGAGTCCTCGGGAGGGTCATGCTGGCACCTAAGCCACCAGATTTGGGGTTGTGGCCACCAGGTCCACGCGATGGATGGGAAAGCAGAGCAGGGCCAGCCCTGGTCGTCCCACCAAGGTGGTGCTGAGCTGGGATAACCAAACCACGTTGTCCCGCTCGCCGTGAGGGCGGATTGGGGAGGCCTGGCCAAGCACTCCTGTGGGACCCCTCTCAGCGGCCCATGGCCTGTCACCTACCACCACCACGGTGTTCGGAAACCTCTGGAAAAGGGTCTCCCTGCGCCCGTGTAGTCACGTGCTTTATAAAAAAACAGCAGTAATTAAGGTATTCGCTACCATGTAGTGTAATACTACATGGTATACTGTATACTATTTTTTCTAATTTTTTCTTTTACTGGCATCTCCTGTAATTCCCAGATCAACAGCTCCAAAAGTGTTAATTTCAGGATAAAGCTGAGATAAAAAAAAATGGCTGTGGCTGACAGCGGGAGGAAGGCAGTATCCTGCAGCTCGTTATGGAAAGATTACACTGTAGAGCAGAAGGAGACAATTAGATGAAATTAGATGAAATTAGTGTATATCTACATAGCTATGTAAGCACGATACATATATAATACAGATGGTGGCATTTTAGGGCAATATACTCAACTACAGATAAAAACGTGCTCATCTGTTTGAATCACTTGGAGACCTCTGCTTGACTTCCCCCACTGACCACTCTTTTTGCCCACGTACTGAGTGATTAATGTTTCCTTCAGCAAATGAGATCGGGTCTGTCTGATTGTATTAGTTCCTCTTCATTGGAGTAACTGAGCATCAATCACGTCCTAATCAGAGCTCATATACATTGATTTTTTTTTCCTTTTCTGTAAACAGCCCCACCATCAGATTCTGTCATGATCCTGGATTAACTCCTTAATAATGACAAAAATTGCAGAAAAAGATATTTCCACCTCAATAAAAACATGCTTTTAACCAAACAACCCTGTTACTTTAGCTCGTCACTGTAAAGTCTGCAAAGAATAAACACAAAAAGTTTAGAATGGTGATTATTACTATGATGTGTATCTATTAATACTATAAATACTATAGACCCTTTCAAGAGTACCACGGCTAATAGGCATTGCTTAACTTTTACAGTAGTCCTTTAAAACATATATATAGAGAGACATACACATATTTTTAATGTAAAGAACCATGATTAAGTGACGCTAATATACAAATGAATTGTTCTTTAAGAGATAGTGGTATCTCAGTTAATCATTATATGTGTACACATCTACAGCAAAACAACAAAATACTTGTACACAGTAGCAAGCAGCTCAGAAGAGTGAATAAGTATTTTCTCTCCCTAAAAGACGAACATCTGTGCTCATACGCTTAACTCGCAAAAAGAGACAATTAAAACTGTTATCTTCTGTCAAATGTTGCCAGCTACTCTACTCAAGAGTTCCTTAAAAGCGAGAGCAGCGGATTGTGTTTAGTGATGGAGTTGGTAATTGTGCAAGACGAGCAACCCTGCGACGCCGAGGCAGTACAATAAATTAAACCCTTACAACGATACGCGCCCACTTAATGATTACTCACTGCATTGATCTTCCTGGTCTGTCAAGTATTCACTGCAATATTGCACTCACTCACTCACTGTCGCCCTGATAGTGAGTAACACTGCTCTGATGCTATTCCGAGAGTGGAATAGCTATCCCTTCACCAATGAGGTTGGCAGCCCTTCTCTGGCATGGGAGGAAGACTCTGAGCCTGTGAACATGTGGCTGCCCATCCTCTACAGTGGGAATTCCCACTAAGGAGGAACAAAAATGGTTTGAAATGACCTCAATTACTGGACTCTCTCCAGTGGCTCTATGTCACTCTTGTGACCAGGAGCCCAGAACTGGACACAGCACCCCAGGTGCAGCCTCAACCTGGGCGCACAGAGGCACAGGACCCCACCTCGATCTGCTAGCAACACTCCTCCTGATGCAGGTCAGGAGACCATTGGTCTTCCTGGCCACAGGGGAACCCTGCTGGCTCCTGGTCAACTTGTGCCCCGGGATGCTGAGGTCCTCTTCCGCAGAGCTGCCTTCCAGCAAGTCAACCCGCAGCCCACACTGGTGCCTGGGCTTATTCCTCACTAGATGCTGGACCCTGCTCTTGCCCTGAACTTCAGGAGGGTCCTCTCTGCCCATCTCTGCAGCCTCTGAATGGCAGCACAGCCCTCGTGTACCAGCCATTCCTCCCAGGTTTGAGTCCTCTGCAGATTGGCCAGGAAGGCACTGCCCCCTTCATCCAGGTGTGGGTGAGTAGGTTGAACAAGGCTGCAGCCAGTCCTGACCCCTGGGGGACACTGCTCAGAGATCACAGAAGGATGTAAATTCTCTTGAATATCATTAAAAGAAATTGTTTTGATTCTTACCAAAGCAAGAAGCTCTCCACTGGGAGGGCAAGGCTTTACACTTGATCTGCATTTGTGATTACAACACTGGCAGAGACCCTGGTCTGCACCACCAAGTTTAGTCACTTGGCTTTTCCAGCAATGTCTCATATAACTTTTTTTTCACAAAATTTCTGAGCATCATCCTTCAAATAATTAGGCTTTTTACATCTCCACTATTTGGGTCTGGAAAGCTGCTCCCCAAAGCTATTCCAACAGCTACAACTGCCCCTCACTCCCAGCCAAGCTTTAATTTTGAGCTAAGTTGTCACTTGGTGTCCATATTTGCGCTTGTGCCATGATCACCAGCATTTAGCTTAGCTAGACCCATCTCCTGCCTACATGCACCTCCTCAAGCTGCTTATTAGAAGCCAATATAATTGTGACTTCTGCTTATTAGAAGCCAATATAATTGGGGCTTCTCTTCTGCTAGGCTGCTCAAAATAAACTTCTCTTTGGAGCATGTGTCCACTTGCCCGACTGGCTCCCTTGCCTTCAGTGCACCACTGTGCTTCATCTGCTTTGAAGAAGATAAACCTGAAATACATGCCTAGGGGTCTTTCCATAGGGCTGTATATGTCACCTAGCTGAATATGCCTCTTTGGCCCATTCACAGGTTGTATCTACCCCTCTAGATGCAGCACAGTGAGTAGCCCTGTCTGCACTGATGTGCTGTCAGCGCATGAATGGCCTTGTGGGTTGTTTCCAAGGACTAACACTGTCCTTAGAGAAAATAAATAAACAAATAAAAGCCACATCTTGCATTATACTCCTGAACTTCATCCCTTTATTATTATTATTATTATTATTATTATTATTATTCCTCTAGGTTGCTCAGTTCTTTCTGCACAATGTCTCTTTCTCTAAATTAAATTTCTCTTTGCTAATATAGCCTTAACAAATCTCATCCTCTCTTTCTCTAATTTGTTGTGTCAACATCCCTCATGAAAATATCCAGCAAGAACATGCCCAAAAACCACAGGGACCTGAGTGAATATAGAAAGGGACTGCTCTGAGAGGGGAGCTATCAGTAGAAAGTGCCATTTATGCCAGCAGGAATTCTGTCTAAGGGAAGAGCAGGCGGCATTTATTATAACCATATTTTTTTATCCAGAAGACAGTAGTATTAATTACATTAATTTGGCAAAGAGCATATTAGCTGCCACAGTACAGAAATGAGTTACACTGTTATAAGCCACCATCATCCTAGTCTGCTCTACAGCTATGAAGCTGGAGCCTAAGGAATTACAGGCCACGTGAGAGGTGTACTCATAAATATACACTTCTAGGGAAGCATTTAAACTAGATAAGAAATATGCACCATAAAAGGCAGCAGTGGCTTGTACAGAATCTGTGGGTCCCCCCTGTGGCTCCCTTTCCTTTTCCCTTTCTCTTCTTGAACTGGCTTTCTGAGGACACTAACAAGCGACCAGGGCATCAGAGAAGCTTCCCGAGGGTGCTGGTGGGGCCAAGCAAGCTAGTCCTTTTTTAAAATTTTTTGCAGCCTGCTTTCAGTTTTGGTGAAAATGAACAGAATTTGAAGTTTTTTTTCCCCTAAGGTTAACAAGGCACCAGCCAAGGAGTCAGAGACACAGCTACATCAACAGCAGAGCGCCTTTTGAAAGTCTGAGCACTGATACGTAGAGATGTAACTTGCTATTCAAAATAATCCCGGATAAAGACGAAACGGCCACAAAAGCACCAAAAGTTCCACAGGAACTTAGGGAAAAAATTAACAGAGAGGGTGACAGAGCCCTGGAACAGGCTGCCCAGGGAGGTTGTGGAGTCTCCTTCTCTGCAGATCTGCCAAACCCGCCTGAACACAGCCTTGTGCCACATGCTCTAAGTGACTCTATGTGTGCAGGGCGTTGGACTAGATGACCTCTGGGGGTCCCTTTCCACCTTTATGATTCTATGATAATGCTTGAAGCTCTGCAGCAAAACAGAAACAGCAATGGACATCGAGCGGGATTACCTGTCGGATCCATTCCACGCACATTCAAACTTGTCAAAGATGCAGTCGTTCTCATAGAGGGAACACAGCTTGCTCCTAAGGTAATCATGGACCTGTTGTAGAGAAAATACCACTGTTATTTTTGAAACAAAGTAAAGCTGCACAGCCAGTCCCTGACCCTGCATTCACTGTGCGTTCACCCTGCATTCTCCTGTGTTCACTTTTCCAAAACACTGCATGGACTGGCACCTTTGCAGAACCTTGGTGCATTCCAGGCACCTTTGACCACTGCCACGGGTGCCCTCTTTGGAAGTGTGACTCTCAGAGTGACTATGAGAATATGAGAAATTAAAGAGAAAAAAATAAATAATATTTTATGTTCATCTGCCACTATAGATCGAGGGAGAAAAAACATGTGCATGTCTGTAAATATTGTTCTTAGGACACACAAGTAACATCCCAATTCCAACCAAACTCATTCAGAGGTAATCACACAGGTAACCCTAGATAATCACCTTTTTGCAGCATGGTGCTATGTTAGGCCATTCCTTCATGGAATTAGTCATTCTGTGCTCCAGAATAACACGATACTAAGACTATATGGGGAGCCATTTCGCTGGGAATATTTAGGGTTGCCAATCGTGTCGATAAATGACAGTCCAGTAAGTGACATATATGCCTTGCCAAAGTGACCCCAGCAGTTCTCAGCTACTAACCCGTTCCCCTGCGCTTGCTGTGGGCAGATTCTGCCGTGGGATTCGTGAGGGCGGCCAGGGCAGGAGCCTCCCACATCCCGCCCCACATCCTGCTCCACATCCCGCTCCGCGCTGCCCAGCGCATGGTGCTCTGCCCTTTCTGCCCTGTTTTATTTTACACGAGGCTGTTGAATCACGGCCAGCAGCTAACGTGTTTCAGCAAGGCTCTAATAGCTGCAGGATGCAATCGCATTCCTTTGCCCACTACACTGAAAAGAAAGTGCATGAGGAATAATTTTTTTTTATGGCACTAAAACTGCACTCTGATAACGAAGCAGTGACTCTGCTCTCTCTTGAAGCCTTTGGGGAAATCTCCTGTCACGACCCCCTTCATGAATTTGAGTTAGACAACATCTATGGCTACCATGCACTGCATGAAATGAGAATTTTATTTTTTTTAGTTATGAGTTTTTCTTACTGGCTTTATGTTTCATATCTATGTTTTGGACATGGAGGGGACTGATGCTTTTACTATTACTCTTTGAATTGTAAAAGCTATAATGAATAGCTCTAAATAACCCAGAGCTTTATTTATTTATTTAACTATTTTGTGTAAACTAGTATATAGCTAATTTATATATAACACCCTGATTACATGGCTATGTAACTCTGAAAATCTTAGATTTATTTGTTGCTCCTGGTGCTTCTGCAGATACTTTTATAATTTTTTTTTTTAAAGCACAATTTAAAACACTTTGTCTTTCTTTAAAAGCAGCATTTTTTTGCACTTTCAAAAATCCTAAGGTTGTCTAGAGGAGTTGGGCTGTGTGAATCCTAAGCAGCCCTCCTGTGATACCTCCCTGCCAAGGCCTCTGACTGGCTTCTGGAGTCTCCTTTCATGAGCTGCTTGTCAGTGCTCTTTGCAAGGTACTGGGTAAGAAGGCAATCCACAGGTTAAGGCAAAGCAGCAAGAACACCTACATTTGTCTGGGGTTGCTATTTTTATAAGCTTCTGATTGCAATAATCAGTACTGAAAAATTATACACGTTTTCCACACCTCAGTGTGGAGAAATATAACTTTTTAATTGGCCCCACTGTTGGCTGTCAGACTGATTTAAAGGTAGGCAGCTTGACTGGAAGCTACATAGATGAGAAACAAAAGCAGATGTCAAAATCAAGACAAACACGTTGGCTTGACCAGCTATGTCTCTCCAGGGGAAAGTTGCTTACTCCACTAGCATAAGTATAAAATAATATATTACTCAAGTTCCTAAAATTTGAGATATGATTCTAGTATGTAAAATACAATCTCCCCCATTCTCTGATGATTTTACAGCATATCAAACTTCCTAACACATTTAGTACTGTGCATTTAATACTGTACTACTAATAGCACTGTCAGAACAGAATCAATTCTGTGTTTTTAAAGGCACACAGGCTCAGGTTTCCAAGGATTTATATTACACAGTAGCCACTGAAGGGTAATAGATGATGTGCTGGACAGCATCAAGGGCCTACTTTGTCTGCACAGTTACAGCTAATAAACACCTCCAGCCATATTGATGTCAAATTTTGATCGTTTTGACAAGTCAGGCTACCAAATTCTCAGTACGTGCTATTAAAAAAAAAAGAAAGACTCATAAACACAGTTACTGTGAATTACCTCACCTGCCCTTATGTAGACAGTGGGGACAGAAAACAGGGATTATTCCAACCCTTTTCCAGGACTGTCTCTATGTAAGCAGTATGAGCCAGATGAATGCTATTTTTCCTATTTTGCGTGTTCTTCTGTACGTAGCCAAACAGCTTTTCCTTATTACATTTTCATAACAAGCATTTTTTTTGCGTCACAGACATAATTTTCTTCTTCAAGTCAGACTCAAAAAGAATGAAAGCTCAAACCTCTCCTGCCAAACACAGCAGATGTCACGAGCACAAATTCAGCGCTGGCAGCAGCCAGTGGCATTTTGTCTGCATAATATCCCAGTGAATTCAGGGAACCAGATGCGTCCGTCTGGCATCCGCAGACTGCTGCGTCAGCGGTGATGTGAGGGCTTAGCAATAATCTCTTCTGTAAGTGGGCCCAAAGGAGAAATGTAGGGAGGGAGTTTTGAAATATGTTCCTAAATCACAATGGCAAAGCTCAGCAGTTATAAAGAGAGGACAAAATCCTTTCCTTTTTCTTTTTTTCTTAACATTCTAACATTTTAACACAGAACATTTTAACATAGTTCTGAACATACTGTCTTAGTGGATACTACCAGATGCCACTACAAGGGTGTTTCTTTGAACTGTCTTCTCAGACCAAGAACTTCAGAGAATTGCTTAATTTTTGAACAGTGAGATGATTATTGCTGCTGGTTAAGAAGGCCTACCTGGTACGTTTCTACGGGCTTGGTTTCCATGTTCAGATCCCAAACTTTGACAGTGAGGTAATCCCTCGTCAGCATGTATCTACCACTGTGACTGAATTTGACATCTGACACTGAAGAGATAATTTCTGAAAAAAACGATCTGTTACTGGGGTCTTCTGGTTCTTCGTAAACTGTGGAAAGAAAAAGAAGCGAGAAAGAAATTAGAGTTCTGTAAAAGCAAATCTTCAGGACACCCCTGCAGCTGGCCAGGCTCTCCCGCCCCATCTGAGGGCAGCTGGGACTCGCCAATCTGAATTTTGTGGAGGAACTGCAACCTGCAATTAACTTTTTGCCTAAAATCTAAGCAGAGGAGAGTGACTTACCAGCTGGAAACATGAACTATATAGTCCATGAGCAATTGCTGACACTTCTAGGAAGTAATCAGCTCACTATACGCGTTGATTAACTTTTCTGTGTATTAAACATCCTGACAAGGCAAAGGGTCACGAAATATGGCTTGGGGTTCCTCCATCCAGGGCTTTCTGGCTAGCAAACTGGTCATCACTGTTCAACTACATATGTATACCTGATGGTTCACATTTAATTGGAGGAATCACAGACGGGTTAAGCCCACAAATGTCTAGAATATTCTTTGGAAATTGGGTGGTTGTCATTTCCAAGTTTCAAAAGCAAGTGAAGAGAAACTATTTTTTGAGACACAGAAAGGTGCAGAAAGAAGAACAACTTCTTGATGTCAGTTAAAATGGAGTTTTTTGGGTAGTCCTCTGAAATATTTTTCTCTTAAGTCATTTATCTATGACTATGATTCAGATGTTGAAAACAAAGTTCAAATTTCCATCAGGTGAAATAATGTTCTGCTGAAAGGTAAGGGTAAGTAGGTGGGCGAAGCATGAAGGGTAATGCAAAAAAATTATGGGCAATTTTCCTTGGGGGTGAAATGCAGCCAGGCATGCACATGGGAATAAGCTCTATATTTGAACAAGTACAACACATCTAAATGGTAATGAACTGCTTCAAAAAGGCGGAAAAAACTTTTCTTTTCATGCAGACTGTAAACGAATAACTTTAAATAACTCCTTAAAAATTTGCCTAGACATTCTGCAAAGAAGATATTTTGTAATTATCCTGTCAGATTTTCAATGGAAGTCTGATGAGCACAAAGCAATTATCATTTCTCATACCTCTTCCCTTTAATCTGTCCAAACTATCTACTTGGCTGGCAGGAATTTCATCCTCCTTATTATGATGTGAAGTTGCTATTTGAACCAAGAAGGAGAAAGAAAAGGCACTACCCCTTCATTTAGAGCTGAGATAAATTTTCTCAGTTATTCCAAACACAGGGCACTGCAAATCTAATCAAACTCCCAAAGACTGGAAGAGCAGCAATATTACTACTGGATGCTCTGTGTTTTGTTAAGATGACCACTAATGAGATTAAACATTTCAGCCCGTATCTGCACTATTTAATGCTTCCCCGTGGTAAGCACTGGAGATTTCACATTAATTAAGCTGCTGAAAGAAAGGTACTGGCAGCAAATTTAGTAGCTGCATTTCTTTGCAAATAGCTCAGCACAAGCAAACCAGGAAAATTGCTATAGAAAAAGAGGAGCAATTCCCAGCTTAGCCACCAGCACCACATGCCTGAACAACTAGAAGAAGGCATTGGCCTGAGGAAATGAAGGTGAGATCTGCTACCTTAGGCTCTTAGCTATCTCTGGTGGCAGCATTAATGTAATGGCATGTGTACTCTGCAAAAAGGCCTAATCCTAATTCAGTTTGGCTAATGGAAGCTAGATACCTGGAGATAGAACAGTCCTGAAGGTGATATAACATTGATTTTTGTTCAGGCAAACAACAGAAATCCAAGCCTGGCCTTTTCCAGCTGACAGGAGAAGACAGAGGAATAGCTCATCCTTTTCCACACATTTTGAAGCCAGCTAACAAAATCAGATTTACCAACAAGCACTGAAAGCAGAATTTCTGCCCATTACAGTTTAGACTTACACCTTGAAGGCTGCTCTTAAGCCACAGGACAATCAGCACCAAAGACATGGGACACTCCAAATCTACCTTACTTTATATATATATATAAATACATATATATATATATAAATAGATCCCATTAGACTAGAATTTGAACACAGAATTTTGCTGAGATTCAATTATAAAGACCATTGTATTCCTCTATTAATTTCTTGATTAACTTCTTAATAAATATCTTTGGCAGTGAAAAGAGGCATTAACTTCCATTAACATTGTTTCTGAAAACCTTTTCAATGCTAATCAGATAAAAGATATAAAACTATCTGCCTAGCTGCAAGCTACAGAACACGCCAACCTCAAATGCTGTGGCGTATTTTTATGTGACACTGCTCAGACTTAAATATGGCTTTGAGAACAGGAACACAGAAATGCTGTGGGGTCACGGAGCAAAGTCAAGCGCTTCTCCAAGCACAGTCGGCTCTGCAGCGAAGCCCCCCAGGAAAACACCAGTCCTGAGACATGGATTAGCTGGGAAGTCTCGGTACGGAGAGATCACACATACACCACACAAAATACAAGGGAAATGGGATGGGAGTCCAAACCTTTCAGTGGTTTGGGAAGAGACCTCCTAGGAATCTCAGATACTACCTGCCTCTTTCATATCAGCAGCTGCCTTTCAATAGAAACCAGTATTTTTCTTAAGTAAATGATTGTGTCTGACTAGAGGGATATCAAGGTGCTAGGAATACTGCTCGGAGAATGACATATCACAGAGCACTGGGCACATTCCTCTGAAAGACATCACGTAGATTGTAACTAAGTGGTATTTTAGGAGTCACCCAACCAACAACAGCCGTCGCCAGCCTAACTAAAAAGCCATGATCCCACAAAAGGCTTCTTGTTCTTTGTTTTGCTGAACCCATTTCCAAGGTGCACATTTCTGAGGGAGTCACTGGGATCTCTAGACTGCAGCACTGCTGAAAACTATTATTTTGGTTGCTGGGCTGGGTTGTAACCATTCAAGGGAGTAAATTTTGGCATAGGAGAACTTAGAAAAGCTAAAAATATTTCATAGAGTGGGTCCAATATCATAATCTAACACAAGCAATCCTGTATTCCTCTCAAAATCATCTCAACAAGGAATATTCATGATATTTCAGCATGCATTACTTCAAAGGGTCTTGGCTATATATTTTCAACATTTACTCCCCTTTTTCTATTACTTTCTGTTACATTTGATTTGCTGAAATAAAAACACAAGCTCCTCAGAGCATTGCTGCAAAGCAGATGGTTCAAAACACAATCAGGAATAATGTTTTTCAAAGCAAAAAGGATGATCTATTTAAAGAGAAAGCAATGACAATATCTCAGATAATGTGGGGCAGGTGTTAGAACAGCTATGTATGCAATACAACATGAAGTTTATCTAAAGCTACTTTTTGTTTTTTACAGGAATTCGTAAGTGAATAATGCATTGATGAGATAACAGAAATGTCAACTACAATCAGTCATACAAATGTTTCATTGTTTTTCAAAGCAGAGCCCTAGAGTATAAGCTTTGACAAAAATTTGTTATCACATCCTGAGCTCTTGATGCTAACTGCAAGATTTTCTTTGAAATATCAGTGAACAAAACAAAGAGAGAAAAGGAGACAACAAGAAGGCGATGATAACACTACATGCTCCTAAGGCACTAAGACTTGGAATTTCTGTTTCTGCAGACCAAAAGCAAAGCTGTAGATAAAAACAACAATTTTGCTGTTACAGGGCCAACTAGATTTTAAAAGAAAACTCAAGATGACTCATGCTTACATGTACTTCAGAACATGTGCTTCTGTGAAAAGATGGAAAAAGCAAAAACCTCTAAGATGAAAGGAAGTCCACAAAGCTGTAAAGAAATTCCATTACTCACAGGATGAGCTTATAAAATGCCTAAAAAGTCATTCCTCAGAACTGAAAAACAAAATTTCTTCTGAGGCTACTTCCCTTCTGTTTGAGAAAACTTTTAAAACATTTTTCTAGGTGATGTTAACAGCTGATATCCTGCCCTGAAAGCATCTGTTTCTACAACGTTCAGCAACAGCTAGGTGAAAAAGTGAAATCGGGCATCTGCCTCCTCATTGCTGCCTCCTTCTGCCAGCAACAAAACACACTGTAGATACTGGACAGATAACAGTGACTTCATTTCAAGGGCTGCTGCTCAGAGTGAAGCTCTCAGAAAACGGGCCCCATAGGAATGACAGCTCCCTTTTCTTCTCCAAGGACAGCTGCAAGATGCCCAGCTCCTGCTGCAGGCTCACAGCTAGGAATGGCTGGAAGGGCGAGCAGGATCCCTGTGGAAAGAGTCGGCAGCAGAGGCCAGAGCCAAAGAAGGGCAAAAAAAGAATTTTTCTTGGTATTATCCAAGCCTGCGTATAGTTTGCAGCTGTGGTAGCTGCTCAGTAAATGACTTTTCACGTAGAACCTCTGGGTTATACCTGTATAAGCAGAATACAGGTATATGAATTGGACCCAGGGATACTGGCAGTGGTTCAGGTAATGTCTCACAAGGCTTGAAGTTGTGTAAGCACTGAAAACAGATGCAGTTCCAGACAAAACAATTCAGCTTCTAAATTAAGCCTCTCTTTCATTTCAGATCCCAAATGAAAATGACTGCAATATCTGATTAAAACATACCAAAAAATGGAACTTTCTAATGAACAGAATCATTGTAATGAACAGAAAGAAGTGAAAGGCCAGCAGAAATCCAGCTGATGGAGCCTACTTGGGTTTCCAAGAGGGATTTAATCAGAGCCCTCATAAAGGCTCACAGCATACACAACTACTGAATCACAGGAAAAGTTCTAGGCTGCAAAAGCAATTGTATAAAAGATGGAAATGAAGAACAGGAATTATTCATTTTCACACTGGAGAGCCTGTCAGTGAAATTTTGTAGAGCTCTGTGCCAGGGCTCAAACTGATCAAAATAATTACAGTTATGACTTGAAAAAGGAAGTACATAAGTGCTGAAAAAGCTTGCTGATAATACCAAATTAGTCATCATAAAAATGACTAAGAACAACTGTAGAAATTTGCTGTAGTATTGAATGGCTGGTTAATAAAATGGCAGAGGAATTTCAGGTAATCAAATAGAGAGAGAAACACAACAAAACAGAAAAAAAATATGCCTAGCTCTACAAGTCAACAG